GCGGAAGCCGCGGCACCAGCCGAGCGCGCCCTCCCGCGGCCGGAGGTGGGAGGCGGCGCCGATCCCCGCGCGGAGCCCCGCCTCACGCCCTCCTCCGCTCCCGCTGCGCTCTCCGGGGGGGCCCCTCCCGCGAACTCTACAACCTCAGCGTCGTGGGCTACCCGGCTGCTTCTGACCATGCAGTCTTCTCTCCAGCTGGTCCCGTCTTCCCGACGCCCAGCCAACCCGGCCTATGCGCGCAATGCTGTTTTGCTGCAAGTTGCAGCTCCTTAAGCCACTTCCACTGAAGCCACTCCAATAGTCAAAAAACTAGTTGATAGAAACGCGAATAGTCCACCGACAGGGTCGAGATTGAATAAATCGTAGGACAGCCACGCTTCGGAAAGTAATGCAACTACCAGAATGTCAGAGCCATAGGGATTGGCCTGGAAGGGCGATATACTTAAAAAAACAGCAACACGCACATTCATTTTGGTATTATTTAAGTTTGAATAAACTCCTACAATACGTGTATGTCTGCAGGAAGTGGAGGATGGTTAACACCGAACTGCAAACTTACCTCAGAAGGTGGATTTAGAGAAGATTCGAAGGTGGATTTAGAGAAGATTCACTTTATGCAAGTGTTTTAGTATTACTGGTTTGAGCTAAGCTACTTTTATAACAAAAAAAAAATCTAGTCGGAAATATTTGTATCACAAAATGTTTCAGTGTTCCCACGTTCCCAGTGTTCATTTTTGTGTTTTTTTTTTGCTGAGGTAGATTGGCCCTGAGCTAACATCTGTGCCAGTCTTCCTCTGTTTGGTATGTGGGTTGCCACCATGGCACAGCTGACAAGTGGTGTGGTCTGTGCCGGGGAACAGAACCTGTGCAGCCAAAGTGGGGCTTGTGGAACTTAACTGTCAGGCCAGGGGGCAGGCCGACCCCACATTTCCAGTGTGTTGTGAGGTCCTCGTCGAGTTCTCATTGTCATGATAGTGATGGGTTATTTGATGGGTTTGCTGCTGCTAGTTTATCTGTCCCACACTCTAGTCATGCACATTCAACAGGAACGGCAGAGAGAGGAGGAGCAGGGCAGGAACCTAGGGAGTGACTACAGTCTGCACTGGAAGCTCCTCTTTCTTGGAGTGGATGTCAGAGCAAAGGCCCTTCCTTTGCATTTTGCTGCTTTCACCACAAATGATGAACAGCCATGAATCTTCCTTCAAAGAGTGTGGCACTGGGGCCAACCCCATGGCCTAGTGGTTAAGTTCCACGTGCTCTGCTTTGGTGGCCAGGGTTCTGTTCTGGGGCGCGGACCTACACCACTTGTAGGCAGCCGTGCTGTGGCAGCGACCCACATACAAAACAGGAAGGTTGGCACGGATGTTAGCTCAGGACAAATGTTCCTCAAGTAAAAAGAGGAAGACTGGCAACAGATGTTAGCTCTGGGCGACTCTTCCTCCGGGGGGGGGGGGGGGGAAGCATATGGCATTGTATCTAAGTACAATTCTCTTTCCAAGAAGATTCAGCGTCTGCATGATGCCCCACTCAAAGGAAGGGCCCAAGATCTACGTGGACAAAGAAGGCAGCCAACAATTCTGTCCTGGGCATTTCTAGTATAAGCCCACCTTCACCAGTGAACGACCGTGGAATCATAATCCTCAAGTGAACAGAATGGAATGGTTTGCTGGACTGTGGCTTCAGAGTGAGATCATTCCACAGGCTCAGATGTCCCTCTACCTTATATTCACCTACTCAACAAGCAGTACAAACCCGCTCTTGGTCAGTTTACTACTTACTATCTCCGAGACCTCAAGCCAATTGTGTAAGACTCTGAGCCTCTCTTTATTTATTATTTATTATTTATTTATTTATTGTGAGGAAGATCAGCCCTGAGCTAACATCCATGCCAATCCTCCTCTTTTTGTTGAGGAAGACAGGCCCTGAGCTAACATCTATCGCCAATCCTCCTCCTTTTTTTCCCTTTTTCTCCCCAAAGCCCCAGTAGATAGTTGTATGTCATAGTCGCACACCCTTCTAGTTGCTGTATGTGGGACACGGCCTCCGCATGGCCCAACAAGCGGTGCGTCGGTGTGCGCCTGGGAGCGCGCGCACTTAATCGCTAAGCCATGGGGCTGGCACCTGAGCCTCTCTTATTTGTAACGTGGCTGATGGTGATACTGGCCTCACAAGGTTGTCAGAATTAATTTAAATGAGAAAATATCTAACACCTTGCACAGTCCTTGGCACACAATGGGTAAGCAATGAGGGCTTTTAAAGTCATATATATATGACTACTTAAAAATAACAAAACCCAAGTGACTAAGATCGTGGAGAAGAGGGAAATAAATCATGGGATTTCTCCATTCACAGCTCCAACAGCGATGTTTCCCATTTTCAAGTCCAACCAGCCGCTTCAGAGAGGAAGCATCACTTTTTTCCCCCACTTGTTCTCTTCCTGCTTTTGGTGCTCAGTTTTTTCAAGGCCTTGGTGCAGGAGAAGCAAGTGGAGAACTGAATTATACTAGGTCAACATCAAATTTATTAATTCAAGAATATATAAGTGAAAAGTATTTCCAAATAATTCTCATACCCAATTAGTGAATATTAAAGCAACCTAATTGTTAAGCTTCATTAGATAAAATCTTGAGGAAAAATTCGGGTTTTAATATAAATATTAAAACAGGAAGATGTTGCGAAGTGCCAATGAGCTTCTGGAATAGAAACCTCTTTACTGCCATGCATTTTAGAAGCCCTGAAGCTTGACTAAAGTCATTTATTTTGACTTCTACATAGTTGTTGACAGTCGAGGCAAATTACACTAGAGAACGCAAGAACACCAACTAATGACATAACAACCTCCTTATGACTAAAGGTGACAAAAATTAAAACTCAAATACAATTTGAAAATATCCTCCTCTCATCCCTATCAGAGTATCTGCCACTGAATCTGAAATTACAATGCATCATTTTTTAGAGTCAATTATCTTTCCAGATATGCAGATTAAAAAATAATCTTAATGTACAATATATGCAAATTCCAGTGAAAGAGCTAATGGAAGACTATCGATCTTCCTTGTCTTCTGTCTTATCGTTTTGTCTCTTAATTATTAAGTTGCCTTTAAAAATGAGGGGAGGGGGGTTAAAATTCTGGTAATTACTCATTTCTAGGATTGTTTTTCAAAAGGGTTCCAATACCCTTTGAACTAGGGTATTTCAACAACACCAATGCCCCCTATTAGAGTAAGAGTGAACTCTCCAGGGGCAGGCAACCAGCCTGCTGTCAGGCTACCCTTCTCCAGTAGTCGAGACCCAAAAACAGGGTTATAGACCTGAGAGCGGATGCCCATTACTCACCACATCCCACAGTCACAGCCACCTTGGGGGCTGTGCTCTCACACTTACAAGGGACCTGGTCTTGAATGGGGCTTAACTTCAGGGACATTTACATATACATACAAGAGTACAAAATAACTCTTAAGGGATAAAAAAAGCTCAGTTTGAATGGGACTTAATACTAAGATAGTTTATGGTCTTTTATTCCCAATTAAGCAAACACTATAGTGTCCCTGAAGGTGCAATTTGTATTAGCATGGCAATATCTTCAACAAGACTTTCTTTTCAGGTACTCCCCAACTTTCTGGAAATACATCCAGGAGCAAGGCAACTGGTAAACAGCTCTTTAAAATTCTTGCCTTTGGTTCAAACTGGGGATAGAGGATAACTTCATGAAAATGTTTACAGTTCAAAATATTTAGCGCCAGGAAGTTGTACTTATTTTTTTAACTCACCAGCCTGAAAGCTTAGATGATCAATCTGTATGAGACTTGGAAATGCAGAAAGGAGAAAAATAGCTGGGAAGTCTGTCCTGATCCACCCAGTGCCACCAAAATATGACACTTCTTACCTGTCCAGCAGAGCAGGGTCAGATTAGGAAACAAGCTGTACTTTCACTTTATAGTTTTTTTCTGCATTTCTAGGGTTATGTTTCACTAAAGTCCTTAGTAAACTAGAGTTTACAGCAGAGTGAACATAAAGGAGTACACAAACCAAATCCACACTTAAATTAAATAGCATGATTTAATTTAGCTGCAGCTTAATCCTGAATCCCCTTAAGTTAAAAAAACAAAAGTTATAATTAACTATTAACGTTAATGAATTTAAACCTTCCAGAAAACATGAATCCAAAAGGAAATATCCAACAGGTGATATGAACCAGATATTTTATGGCCTCTCCTGTTTCAGTCTCAAACATTCTAAACATCAATGGAAAAAAAATTCTCTAGAGTTTCTCAGTTTTATTCTAGAGCACAATTTTCTGGCCTGTTACTGAGTATGGTCTTCTAATAGGTACACAATTAACTCATAGGTAGACAACACAATGGCAGTGTTGGGTATCTGCCGGATGAGCTGGGCAAAGAGTCCTCTATAAAAGGCAAGGTAACCTTCTTCCCGGAAGACCAGCCGAGCGGTCTGGACAAAAGACTTGTACTTGGTGCCCTCCTCCCGGAGCCGCGTCCTTATGACTTCTGCAGAGAGAAACACATACTTAACGCTACAAATTAACTGTATTACCAGGCAATACGAGGAGAGAATTCAAAGCCCATAGCTTTATAATTGTCAATGTACAATTCTGGCTCTTTGCCATCTCAGCTGTATTTGGACAGGACAGTCACACAGACACAATGAAGAGTTAACGATTTTTTTTTTTTTTTTTGGTGAGGAGATCAGCCCTGTGCTAACATTTGCCAATCCTCCTCTTTTTTTTGCTGAGGAAGACTGGCCCTGGGCTAACATCCATGCCCATCTTCCTCCACTTTATATCGGCCGCCGCCACAGCATGGCTTGACAAGCAGTGCATCGGTGCGCGCCCGGGATCCGAACTGGTGAACCCCAGGCCGCTGCAGCAGAGGGTGCGAAGAGTTAGGATTTTTTAAAGAACTTTTTCTAACTCTGGGAAATGGTCACTCAGGGACATTTACATATACATACAAGAGTACAAAATAACTCTTAAGGGATAAAAAAAGCTCAGTTTGAATGGGACTTAATACTAAGATAGTTTATGGTCTTTTATTCCCAATTAAGCAAACACTATAGTGTCCCTGAAGGTGCAATTTGTATTAGCATGGCAATATCTTCAACAAGACTTTCTTTTCAGGTACTCCCCAACTTTCTCCTCCTACTAGAATCCTTCTCCACTCTGTCCACCTTAAAGCTGCCTCCTCCAATTCCAAACCTTAGCCCACCTGGCCCTCCCTCACCTCAACGCTTGTCGCTGCCTGTCACGCAGACCTCAAGCTTCTGTCTCCTACCACGGGAGCATCCTCACCTCTTCTCCATGAGCCCTGTAGGGCGCTCATGCCCCAGCACATGATGGGACTCAATTACCTGTTACTGAGCTGACCACGTGCATTCATGATAGCTGACAGCGCAGTAGACTTTTGAAAACAAAACCTATTTTTCATGGCACAATAAACTGACCTATTTCTTTTTTAAGTAGGTCAATAGGACATTAGGGGCCGGCCCCGTGGCTTAGCGGTTAAGTGTGCGCGCTCCGCTGCTGGCGGCCCGGGGTTCGGATCCTGGGTGCGCACCGATGCACCGCTTCTCCGGCTATGCTGAGGCCGCGTCCCACATGCAGCAACTAGAAGGATGTGCAGCTATGACACACAACTATCTACTGGGGCTTTGGGGGAAAAAATAAATAAATAAAATTAAAAAAAAAAAAAATAGGACATTAGGTCTGTAATTCCTTAAAAAAGAATCTTACCCAAAGTAGCCTTGCTCAGCACTCCATTCAAAGTTGGAGCTGAGAGATTTTTTTAAAAGTTTGGCTCCCACATCATTTTTTTAAATTGAGGAATTTTAAATAAAATCCAGATCTCTGGCTTCTTTGAAAACATCTGAAGTTCCAAAACACAGGGCCCACATTCTGCACATCAAGTTTTGGCCACAATCAGCTGGATGTGAGCAGAGCCGAGTTCCCACCACTCTCGTAACCTACACACACGCAGGGGAAGCCAGTTTCACTGCTATCGGCCACCTTACTCCCTGCAGGTATCTGCATTTCAGTGTGAGCTACAGAGGCCGAGATATACTGAGAAATGAATGACACAACCCTGACAGCTGTTTTACTGCTCTGAAAGAAAAAGCAAAACGTACCGTGTGGATAAGCAATACAGGAAGCACATCCCTTAGAAATAGCAGCAGCTGCCATAAGTCCAAAAAAATTTGTGGAATTTTTCTCAGTCCCACTTGTAGAAGAGGCTAATGGAGCTTCTTTCAGATACTTCTTTAAACTTTCATAAATAGCGAAACAGATGATAGTTTCTGAAATTCCAGCATATGAGGCAGTTAACCCCCTATAGAAGCCACGGATGCCTTCTGTCTGGTAAACATAGCGAGCGCACTGGAGTGTGTTCATCTGCTTGGAGCCTCGCACCCTGTGTAAAGGAGACCAACGAGAGGCCGTTATAATGCACGCTGATGAGCCTGGCCATGGTACCAAGGCACAGAATGACCCCTGAACACAGAGACGTTATACGGCAGGTGAAATGTGTCCTCCCTGTTCTGTGAGGCTGGGTCCGGTAGCTGGGACACCTGATGGGGCCACAGATCATTATGCGCCTTTGTACCAAGAGCCATAAAAACATGTTCACAGCCTCTGACCTAATTTTGGAAAGAGCCATATGGAGGAAGATGTTCATCATGAAGGAAAATATAACTGCAATATAATCAAAACAAACATCTAAAAACAGGAAGAGATAAACTATGGTACATACACTAGATTAAAACAGTTGTGAAGGCAAGATAACGGGGAAGGGCTTAAGTTGAAAGCAGGACAAAATTACGTGTAAAGTATAATTACAATTACGGTACAAATATGCTTTAAGAAAGTACTAAAGGAAACCTCACCAACATTCTGACAGGGTGGTGAGCTTATCATAAGCTTTCTTATTGCTCTAGTCTCCCAATGGTGAATGATTCCATTATTTCTATATTTCTAAACACTGAATAGACTACACAATGACCAATAAAAGGCCTCAGGCCTGGAAGCTCCTACCCCATGATGATAAGTTTCCATAAACTTCCTGGATACAAATGGAACCCTGGGGCCTGAGAGTGTCTACACTGGTCACACGTCAGAGACCCCTCCTTGGGGCTGAAGGCCAGCCCGCCCTCCTGCTCCAGTGAGTCTCAACAGGTCTCTCAGAGGCCGTTCTCCCTCCCTAGCTGGAGGGACCTTTCTAACACAAATCCAACCATGCCCCTTCCCTGCTGAAAACACTCTATAACGCAGGGTTGCTCAGCATCGGCACTACTGACTTTTCAGGCCAGATGATTCTGTTGTGGGATCTGTCCTATGTGCTGTAGAACGTGCTTAGCAGCACCCTCGGCCTTTACCCACTAGATTGCAGTAGCACCCCACCTAAGTTGTGACAACTAACGTCCCCTGGGGGAAAAGTATCCCCTACCCCCACCCCAAAAAACTATTCTAATGGCTCTCCACTGCCCTCAAAATAAAGCCCAAGTCCAAACTCCAAATTCCCTCCCAGGGCTTTTAAGGATGTGGCCCCCACTCGTTTCCCCAGCCTTATCTTTCTATAATTCCCTCCTTCTCCAGCACATATCCATGCCGTCCATTCTGATCACACTTGAACAATGCTTTCTTGCCCCCGGATTTTCTGCACATATGGTTCTCTGCCTGAAGCACCTTCACTGCTGCCCCACAGGGCTATTCTTCAGATGGTGAGGTGGACACCACTGCCGCAGGAGGCCCGCCCTAGCTGCCTGTCTCTGCCCATCCTGCCTAAACTGCACTAGGAACCCTCCAGGATCCAGCAGGCCCCTTATCCCACCCAGACTATAATTCTCTTTATTTTCTGTAAAGCTGCGAGCTTCTGGAAGGCAGGGCCTATGTCTTATTCCCTGTTTCCCCAGTGCCTAGTGCACAGGAAGCATGAAACAAACACTCATTGTTGAGGGACATGTTAACAGAGCCCACCACCCAAACAAAGCTTTAAAATGTCTTGTGCATGGATCATTCTTAGGCAGATTTAAAAGCATGCACGTAGAGGCTCTCAACTGACTCGTGCACATACCCACTGCTAAACAGCAGTGATATGAGGACACTGTGTGCACACTTATAAGGGGAGTGAGTACAAAGGTTTCCAGGAGAGGGTGCTGGTCAAAAGCCTGAAGGACAAGCAAGTATTCTTGAAGGACAAGAAGGGGACAAGGGATTCCTGGTGAGGGACGGCATACTTGGAGATGGAAGCATGAGAGCATGTGACATTTTTAGAAAATTGCAAAGGACCTTGAATGTTAAGCCAAGGAGTTAGGATTTGACCCTGAGAATAACTGAGATTCACTGAATGATTCTGAGCAAGTGATCTCTTCAAAATGATTAGACCTGCCTGATGTGTTTTAGAAGGTTCTTTCACGCAGAATGGACTGGGGGGAATATGGAATCAAAGACCAATTCAGAGGCTACTGGTCATTAGAGAGAAAAACCAACTAAGGCAGACCCCTACACCTACACTTCCAGTGGGCATTCTTGCTTGCTCTCTCTCATCCTTTCTTTATAGGACTAGCTGGAAGTTTCCAGTGCCCCACACACATCTCTAGGCAACACAGTTCTGCAAGCGTTCTTAGATAAAATCCTATCACAAAATCATGGACCATCACCATTTCTTTGAAATCACAGTTACTGGGCTGCTGCTTGATCTTGTTAATGTATTAAAGAAGTGTATAACTATATTGTAATTTTTAAAAACATTGATAACTATATTTCAATAATTGGTTTCCATTGCTTTTAAAAAGATTATTCTAAAAAGTGCCTGCAGAGGGCCGGCCCCGTGGCTTAGCGGTTAAGTGCGTGCGCTCCGCTGCCGGCGGCCCGGG